CAACTTTTTTTGTTTTTTCTGGACCATTTAGCTGCCCTGAAGACTCCTGGGACCTGAACTGGCTGTGACAAATCTGCAAGAAAGAGACAAACAAAGGAAGTAACACACCCAGTGTTATTACGGACTGTTCATTCCGCCTCATTCATCTCGAGCTGATAAACAAAGCAGGATATCACAGTGTTCAGGACAATCACAGACACGAGGTTGGACCGTCTCTGTAGAACACATTCTTATCCTTCTCCGAGGACTGAGTTGTCTTTGTAGTTGACAAAGTGAATAATGTTGCCAATTCCCATTGACCCAGCTGTAAGATTATCTTCATAATATCTATTGTTCATGAGGTATCTATGTTCAAAAGATACAGCAGTAAGCATAACTGAAGTGTTTTGTTCTTACATTTAAATGAAGGCTGCGTTGTCCAGGAGTGACAGTAAGCCTGCTTTGGGTAATTCTGCACCATGGTGAGGAAACTGACATGCGGTTGCTTGTTTTGGTGCTCGTCCCTGAGGCTAATCAGCCTAAAGGAAAAAGCTACAGGAGAAAATACTGGGACTAATAAGCTGAAAGCATAGATTTGTTTTGGCTTGTCATAGTTTGTCTCTGACATGACAAAACCTTGAATCTCAGAAATGGTAACTTTTATTATAAGCTAATGTAATGAGATTATGATAAGATTTAAATAATTTTGGACCATTTTCTCTTGGTCCATTCATCATTTATCATTTAGATCCAATCCTGTTTCACCCCTCGCCCCTACCACTTAACCCTAACCCTCTGTTTTGCGCTTACACATAGACGGGTAGGGTGAAGTGTTAGGGCTGCATGGCCTTGCAACGGAGGCTTTGCAGGGACACACTCCAAACAGAGAAAAATGGCAAGATGGCTGCGCAAGCGAACAAAAAACTCACAAATGTGAGTTTTTTCTGTGTTAAAAAAATTATGATAACCATTGTATTATCTTAGTTTAATGATGTTACAATGCATTATGGTCTTTTTCTTCATAACAAACATAAAAATCACTAGTAGTTTGATGATGTCTCGGTAGCTAGGGAAATTTTCCGTTTCACTTTAAATGGTGCAGCAGTTACATTCTGGCATCAGAACTGCTGCACCATTTAAGGTGGAACTGGGAAGCTGGTCAACAGCTGACTTCAGCTTCATATCACCAAAGAATTAGGGGTGGGTGATAATAAATAATTATCATCCCCCCTCTTTGAAGGCATATGATTCCCTAAATTTAGCCCAGTGAGGTTACTGAACTTTACCCTCCTCTGCCATCACTGCAGACTGGCAGGGTCGCCTACAGAGCACCGCTAGTGGTCTGTTAATGAAGTAATGTTCTTCTTTATTTGTGGTTTGTCCCATTTCGTAGGGAAAGATTTCAACCATTACCCCTTGTAACGCAGTGGCAAGGGGCAAGGTGACACACAAAAACAGGGAGTAGGGCTAAAAATAAGATATGGGATTGGGCCTTAATGTGTCCACTCTTCATCCTTATTACAGCTTCCGTTCTTTTTTAAGACTTGCTTTTAGTTTGTAAAAGACATTTGCAGAGGTACTTTTCCGTGCTTCCTGTAAACTTCCTCCAAAGTTCAGTCTTAGACATTGGTTGCATTTTCTGCTTCTCACAATCCAAATAATCTCAAACTCATTCAGTAATATAGGGGTCTGGGCTCTGGTGTGGCCAGACCATGGTTCTCATTATTCCTTCAGCTTCTTTAGTTGAGGAGTACATCTGGATCTTCTTAGCAGTGTGCTTGGATCCGTTGTTTTGCTGTAGAATTAATTTTTTCCCAACCAAGTTTTCCAGTGCATACTGCACGGTGTACTGAAATTTTGGTTTGTACTTATCAGCATCATGATGCTATACCTCCCTAAATTTGCTCTGATCCTCCACCGTGCTTGACTGAGGTTGTAAGTTTCAAAAAGTCTTTCGTTGCTTCAGCAATGTACAACTGCCTTCAGCTGATGAAACCTCACTCCACATCTCAGGTGACCAGAGTTCATGGTCTTGTGCAATTTTAAATCTGCTGTATCTCCTGTTCTCAATAGTGGCTTCTTGACAGCTACACATTCTTTCAGACTCATAGTGTTGAGTTGTCTTCTCACGGTGGAAGGATGGACAGAAACACTCGTGGATACTGTGTGTTTGTCTGGAGGACGTTCATTATGAATAAACACATAGGTAGGAGTGGGCAATATAGCAATTTTTATGGCCCTCGAGATAAAGTACATCACAATACTCTTTTTTAGCATATCATGGATATCGTCAGTACTTAAACCGAACAACTGCATGTTTCATTAGAAAGAGAGTATAATGAGGACACTGTATTCACAGTTCTCAGTTATTCTGGTTCTTTACAAATCTCTGAAAAACTGTCATGAAAATACCTTCATGATGTTATATATAATATAACATAGGCACTAAAGTTTTTTTCAGAGAAATATGGTGTTTTTTCCAAAGTCAGTTGGAGTTATAGCTTTTGTTTATAGCTTACGGTGAGTGTTACTGCTGTCAGCATATTGCAAAAAATATGCAAAAAAATCCTGTAGCCACAAGAGCCGTGAAAGCGTTTTTTCTCATGAAAAAAGTCACCCAGGGTGACAGCTCCATTGAAACAGGCCACAAACTGTGAGGTAGCAGAGCATAAATCCTCAGCCCATGACAGTGGACTCGTTCCAGGGAAGACGTCACCCGCAGTTCAACATCTCTTTTCTTATGACACGTGAAGCTGAAGCCTTGTGTGGTCTTCACGGCTGGCTTCTCCTCAGCAACCTGGCTACTGACTCTCAGCCACTTGTACATGACACACAGCTCAGTGATGTATTTCCTCTTTTCAGCGAGGATTCCCAGGCTCTTGCCCAAGGAATCAAAGATGTTTCCCCTCCACAAATGTTGCCAACCTGGTGGCTGTTCCAAATACAAGAAGGAGGGGACCTGACACGGTTGACTGGTTCTTTTTTTCCTCTTAGGTTTTTCTTCCACAAGACAGGCCATAAAGAAGGGCCATTTGCCCTGCATTTTGGAAGAGGTCTCTACAAATTAGACCAGAATCTGAGGACTGAAACGCAGACAGTTTATGCGTGGGGCTTTACAAAAACTGTTAGCAACAGTGCCCGATCTCGAATGTCAGCAAAGGTTTATGTTTCGCAAAGAAAATGCACGACATACTACACACCAAATGTGGAATGTTCATTCGAATACATTGTGTTGCTGAATTGCAAACTGTGCTTTCTGTGAAAACACTGTGGGCTTTGTTATTATCAGAGCACTCTGAGATTTCTCTGTAGCTCACACTTCCAGAAGAGAATATGTATATAAACAGTTGTATAACTATATCAGCTTTTCCTGCTGTTCCATTCCTATTAGGCAGTCGAAGGTGAATGTAAATATACAGCGATCCCAGCCGCCAGTTATTGAATCTCCCCTCGAGCAGCCGTCCCACTAAGCCCTGGGTTTTACTATTGTTTGCTTTGGGGAGCAGACACGCAACATGCTGTAACGCAGGAATGGACCATTAGTCCCTATCATAACATAAGCAACTATTAGAGTTAACTTTTTCAGTATTTAAAGCTCTTGTGCACTTCTTATTGATAGCTGATTTAACTATGGAAGCATTTATTAGCAGATTCCACATTCATTTTTCTAGAATGACAGTAATGTACTGTAGGTAAAGTAGAAATGTTGTTGGTATTAGAATCAGCAATGGTTACGGCCAATTAGTATTACAGTAGGGTGGAGATTGTTGACCTGTGCAAATGAAACATTATATACTGTGTGTTGTTTAAGATGGCTGTAATATGTCAGTTAATTATTGGCTCTTTGTGAATGGTTTTCAGTCATGTATTATGGGCCTAATTTCACTACTCTGAACAGTCTTTCCTTGGCTTTTCTTTGCATGTCTGATTTACAATTTAATTACTGTCTGAACCACAGTCTAGCCAAGATTCTCTGGAGGCTTAAGGCTACTGCACACCGGATGCACCAAACCATTGTTTTAATAAAATTCGCCATCATTCGCCGTCTACAACTACTTTCAGTACTGCACACCATTCAGGATTTTGCTATTACTGCATTAAATTAAACCTAGAACCAAGCCGCAAAAACCAATAGTAGATGACCTGTCTTGAAATGTATACATTTACACACCTGCAAAGTAAACAGTTAATAATCATCTTTTACCATAGCTAACCTTATTAGCCTAGTCACATTGTTACTTATTTCTCCTTGTAAAACAGCATGTTAGTCATAATAGTTAGCTGATCTTCATTGTGATACATTAAATGATATTCTGTATATATATATTTTGTTCCATTAAGTCTGTTTTTAGTTGAGCGAAGAATGGACTGCTTTTGTGGTATAGCTGTGCTTTGTACTATTTCCTGTGTGACGCTCTGGTGTGCAGTAGCCTTTAAAGTCTCCTTTTGTTTTATTATTCTTTTCTAATATAATTACATAATTACATATTTATTTACATAAAGAGTTAGATAATTAATCACACTGACTGCCAATGTACATTCAGCTTCAAGTCTGCACTTCTGACTGTTTTCCATTTATTTCAATGTTAATGAAAAAACAAGGAAATAATTGTAGATGTCTTTCCACAAAACAAGATCAAACATCAAACTCGAATCATACTAAAGGGTCTTCTCTTTAACTTCAGTGTTTCAGCAAGCTATGTATAAGAAATAATCGATATTGCCTTGCAGCATGCTTTTGTAACCACCAATGATACCTGCAGCTTCTAAACGTTTAACATCAAACTAGTCACCTACTAGTTTTTGAAGATATAGCATAACCTGTGAGGGTAGGGCAGATCAGAAATACAGGAGTCGTCTTCATTATTCAAGTCATCATAATGTCATAATTTAGCACCTTTTTTTATCAGAATTTCACATTTTTGTCCCTGATTTGTCATTTAATACTGTTCTAGAAGCTGTTTTGCAAATGAAATGATCTGCCTTTTCCTAAAGTCTGCTTTGAATTTGATATGTTTCAGATCAACATGTTTATGGAAGGATTCCATGATGCTTTACTGCTGTATGCGCTGGCCTTAGACGAAGCAATCAAAAGCGGTCACTCTAAGAAGAATGGGAGGGAGATCTCGCATAGAATGTGGAACAGAACATTTGAAGGTAACTAGTGACATAAGTAGTAACATTAATAGTAGTCCTTCAGTTATTCAGTGCTGTTAATGTTTATTTTCTGTGGTTAAAAGTTTCTAAGGTCACTTGCTATTTTTGCTGTTTCTCGTACGTATAACTGGCCTAAGGCTATTTCATGACCTTTTTGATATAAACTGAACAGCGGTTATTTATATGCTTAAGTGTTTCCTGTGAAACGTGGTTTGACCTGTTTGATTTTGTGGGAAATTCTTCTGTGATGGAACCGGATGGGAAAAAGTAAACAGGGGCAACAAATGCGTCAGTAATCAAGTGCAACATTAACTTTTTAATTAGTGAATCAGCACCAGAGGGTCAGCTGTTAGTGTGACAAGAGGAGAAAATAAACACAGTACTTGCGTAACCTAAATTTAATCATGCTAGCATGCTAATTTTGTGTGTGTGAGCAAATGAAGATGAGAGAGGGAATTTATAAAAGGATGAAGATTATTTATTCAGTTCGGTTGTGATTTCTGGATTGAGCAGTAAAACATACACCTACGGGTCACTTGTGTTCAGGAGGTTCAGTACTAGTTGACCAGCTGTTACAAAAGTTCAAAACAGTTTGCCGTCTATGTCTCTGGTTCATTGTTAATAATTTAGCAGGAGGAGAGAATCCAAATCAGCATGTCCAGCGTCAAGGCGCTTTAGTCAAGATTGAAGACACTCAGCCTCTAGTGGTTAAATAGGTCAACACTGACAACACAGGAACTTTTCTTTTTTTTACTCTTTGGATTTGTTTCGATTTCCTGCCCATCAACACAAAGCGTGCCCCAGAGTTTGTTTAGAGATTTCCAGCATCACGAAGAATTGTAATGACTTTGCATTCTAGAAATGAAGTAGGCTTTTTATTGAGGTTATTGCCTTTCTTTATTATTTAGAGATAGATGATATCAAAATAATCTGTATAGCCTAAAGCTGGGCAATATGACAAAGGTATCCTTATCCCAATAAATTACATCTTTTTCTGAGTGTATTGTGTATATTGACAATACTTAAAAGAACACTGAACAACATAATTCATTATAAAAATGCATAATTAGTTTTTTTAATTCGATGTAGAGGAGCACAGTGTGTGAAACACTAAATAAAAACAATTTGTATTTTTAGCTTTGATGTTTTTTTTTTAAATCTGGCACTACTGGTTTCTTTTTTGGCTTCTCCAACTTATCCGATATCAGTGTCATATTGTATATCGCGAAAATGTCTTGAAATATCATGATATTATATCTTTGCCATATCGTCCACCACTAACCTGGCCTCATCTCAACAGACCACATCAACTGTGGTCCTTTTTATAGCTAAAACAACTATTACACAAGTTGTTAACAACAGTAAATGCCATGGCTACCATTTAATTTATCTCAGGGTAGTTGTAAATGCTTTCAGGAACCTAGCTAAAAGACAGAAGTGCCAAGAGAGGGCTGCAGTACGGCTCTTCCCTGACAAAATATTGGTGACATACCCTTCCTTTTCAGTTATTTGGAGAGACTTGCAGAGATTTGTCCAATAATGCAATCCAAGTACTTTCTAAACTTTTTTTGGTGAAGTCAACCCTTTGAAAAGTTCAGCTCTTCATACACAATGCGTTTACATACATGTTCCAGAGGAATGTTGCTAATTCTGCATCCAACTTCACGTGTAATAATTATCTCCATCTCGGTTCTTGTTTCAGCATGTTTCTTGGTGTTAAGTGTGATGGCATCACAATGTGTTTTTTCTCCACAGTACTAGGTCGTTCTACATATTTTCCAAGCTGTTTGTATAGGAAAAGAAAACATTGAAAGTACGGTTAATTTGGTAATATACTTAAAACCAAAATGATGTTTCGAAGGCCAAAACAACGCAGTGGTTTGAGTTTGTACGGTCGTTGTGTGCTTGCTGAACAGAACTACAAATTACAATGTTGTTTGTTCTGAGACCTCCTACTGACTGTGATTTGTCCTATTCATCACATCATTTGCTCTGAGACCTCCCCCTGACTGCAACTGGTCCCCTGCACAGAGCAAGCTTCTAGCGGTTCGATGATGGTTCCATTTCATTCAGTTCTTCCTGTTGTTTGAAGTGTACTTCCAGCATTAGTGTCTGTCAGTCTGGGCAAATGTGTTTAGACCTTTTTTTCAAATATGTTCATGTTTAAAATGAGCATAGAATCAAAAAGAAGGTTTGCTAAAAGAACAGTTCATGCCCAAAGCTGCAGAATTCACAGAGGAACAACGTTTAATTTGATTATCCCGTATTCTTTCTACTTTCATTCATAAGCTTTGCTTATAAAGTAGGTGCTCAGCCATGTCTGCTGCCCAAGCTGCTTTCATCAACCACAACGCCAGAACTAAACGTGAAATAACAATGTTTTGTTCTGTGGGAATCATCAGGAACAGGGTCATGTTTTTCCTTGTTAAATGAAATAATATTTTAAAAATGTCAAGAATTTGGGAACACAGACGCAGGGATGAAATTACCATTTCTTCAGACCATGCCAACAAAAACGGCGGGAGGCAGATGAGATTTCCTGTTGTATTGGCCGCCCGGAATTTTGTCGACTCTTGCTGGTGTTTTCCTTGGAATGTCTGACTCTTCCACCTAATTAATTTTCACATTCCTTACATTCTGTTGCACAGGCATTGCTGGCCAGGTGTCTATGGATGCCAATGGTGACAGAAATGGAGATTTCTCTGTGATGAGCATGACAAACCAGGAAACTGGAACCTATGAGGTAAGATTTATCTGTTTTATTGGAAGAATAAGGTATCAGGACATAACACAGTGAAAACAAATTTTATACTAATGTATTAAAAGGGCAGATTAATACACAGACTAATATGCTTGTTTTAAGTGGGGATTATATGGGAAATCACATTATATAGCTGCTATTGTTCTCTAAAGTTGATTAAAGTTAACCCATGATTCCAACTGCAGTGAGTGCAATAGTCAGGGAAGCTGAATTAGAATGACATGGAAATGAGAAAGACATAGTGTCACAGACAAACTATGCCTGCAGCTTTCTATAAAAAAGCCAAGTCCATGTAAGATTAAACACCTCTCCCTCTGCTTATATGTACATTATTTATTGTGTTATGTTCTGTTATGTGACTGTTAGATTAAAAACTTTGCAACACTGGAGAGAAAATAAAAAAATGATGCCGACTCTGATGCAGTTTTTTTTCTCTTTATAGACTGTCCTGAACTACTTTGGCACTAATGGAAGTTTCCAGATCATGCCAGGCTTCAACAGTGAACGGTTCATTCTGCGAGGTGCACCCAAGCCTCCAACCCCAGAACACACAAACAAATCATGTAAATTACCTCTGTTGCTTTAAGACCTATAGAAGTGTGGTGTTTAATCAACACAATTAGATTGGATAATCATGAACACAGTGAACAAATCTGATAGACCCGGGCTAGCTATGAATGAACAGCCCATGAATAGCGGCTGGTATAGCATAGTGGGTAACACTGCTGCCCTCCAAGCTACAGAGTGCGGTTTTCGATTCCCTGCTTAAGCAGGCACACCACACTATACCATTAACAGTCTTTGGGAAAGACTCCTAACACTACATTTGTTTACATCTGTAACATGAATAAATCATAAGTCACTCTAAATTAGTGCCATAATGCTAAATGCCATAAATGTAAATATACACCCCCAAAAAGTATTTGGCCATTTATAACATACTTAAAAATGTGTGCATTGTGTTAGAAAGCAGAATGTTAAATCAAGAAGCATTCATTTTAAATAGACCATTCCAAGACCTTTCAGAAGGCAGCAGGTATCTTTCAAATCATAGTCCTTTCCTATCCACTTCCACTTCTTTCATTTCAGCAGATTCTTTGCAGTTGTCTGCAGGTTTGCACACTTCTGAGTTCATGATCCCATCCGTGAACACAAGCTCACCACCGCTGTAAGAAAAATAGCCACAGAGTTTGGTTAGAAGTCTTCTCTAGGTTTCTCCACACAAAGTCTAACATCTGTTTGGTGTTGTGTTACAATGGATTTTACACAGAAAACTTCATTAAAGATTACCAATGGTTAAAGTGTCCGAATACTTTTTGGGGCCACTGTAAATGCAGCTTGGGCTGCAGAAAAAAGAATGATTTTTGGAATTGTAGTGATTTACAGCTTAATTCATAAATACTATGATTTTGACTGAAGATTTTATGAAGGTGATCTACAAGTCTTTTAAACATTTTCTAAAGGAATTTGTCAGCTGCCCGATGGCTTCAGTTATAAGTGAATTCAGTTAAAAGTGTGTTTCAAGACAACAGGTTTTCCATTGTTTTCTAAGTCAAGGAAATGTGTCAAAATTATCGTCTGTGGCTGTTGACCATTATAGCTTAGAGATTAGGTTAAAAAATACTGTATTCCTTTAATAGCAATCTAGTCAGTTATAAAACTTTAGATTATTGGTCATGAAATCATGGCCACCTAACCTAATTGCTGTAAAAAACAAATCTGACAACATGATCAGGATCAAGAGCTTTCAGTTAGTTGTAATATTCATTTCTAATGACTTCATTTTCTTTCCTAAGCAGGTGGACTAGGTTTATCAGCAGCGACTGGGATCATAGTTGGAGGGCTTCTTGGAACAGCACTACTTTTGGGATTCTACTTTTTTAGGTAAAACAACAAACTACACTAATATTTCACATATAATAAATACTGTTTATATAAGGTGATAAAAATATTTTAAACATTATAAATAATTTTAATAGGTTACATACAGGTTACAAATTAAATGAAAACCAACATGAAGTGTCTTATTAAGGTGTTTGGCCACCAAAAGCTGCCAGAACAGCTTCAGTGCACCTAGAACTATACAGGAGGGATGGAAGAGACCACCACCATTAGGACCACTCTAGCAAAATACCTCCTACAGCAGGGGTCGGCAACATGTGACTCTTTCACTGCCCTGTTGCGGCTCCACGGCAGAATTAGATATTACGTAAAAATAAAATAATCCTCCTTTGCGGTAAAATAAAGCTCTGCTGATTGTTCTAACACAGTTTTAACAATAAATGGTCTTAAATGCTGAAGTTAATGTATAACTGCTATTTCACCCTTTAACCCTGAATGTTAGCGCACAGACTGCTGGTCACCATAGCAACGCTGAAAACAGTCTCACCTAGCTAGTAGCTAATGAAAAGGGCAAAGAGAAAGATTTAAGACGACATCGATAATTTAGAGATGAATGGACTTATTTGCATTTATAAGCACTTCAGCTGGTTTCCTGATACATTTAATCTGCAGTGAGGAGCTGTCAAACTCTAAAAAGTCACAAAGCTGAAGTCAGTTTCTCATTCACCAGCTTCTCGTTTGAATTTTCCCGCTCCACCGTAAATAGTGCAGCAGTAACATTCTGGCGCCTCAGTCACCATCTAAGGTGGAACGGGAAAATTCGAACAAGAAGCTGGAGAATGAGAAGCCTCGTAAAAAGACGTTTCACAAGAAACTATTCCGTTTCCTGAGCTGTAACTGAGCTAAAGCTTACGGCAGAGCAAAGTAAGCCTGCGTTTTCGTTTAGGTTATATTTTTTAGTCTATACTAGGACTTGAGCACAGACTGAGACATATTTACAGCCAAGATGATGAAATGTTACTTCAATAAAATTGACATAAAATACTGTAGCTCCCATGGTGGTTTGATTTTTGCTGAAAGGACAAAATGGCTCTTCTTAACATTTAGGTTGACTCCTGCCCCACAGCATAACAGTGCCACCGGACCCCCTCACTGGAGGGGTCAAACATTTAGGCCTATATTGTTCCCTTGATGTATGCAGTCGCCCACTTGTGGAGAATATGGCGGAGGAAGACTCCCCCACATCTCTGTAGACCAGTGCTTATTGCTCCTCTTAACTTTCAAATGTGCATTTATCTTTATCTGCAACTCTCTCTCTCTTTCTCTCTCTCCCTCTCTCTCCCTCTCTATGTAGTCACTTAATGTGCACTTTTTACAAGAATTTCCAACTGATATGCTGTTGAAACACTAGTACACTAGTTGAGCAGCCTTTGTGACTGTCATCCAAACCCTGTTTCAAAGAAATTAAGATATCTTCCTCTTGATCCAAAATTGAGCTTCCACAGAGCATAAGAGGATGTTAACTGCTTAATTACATCATGCAGTACACCTGTTTGGAATATACATAGTCCTCATTATGTATCTCAACTCTTTTATTCAGGTTTTTTCTTTAATTTGACCCCTCTCTGTTCCTCTTGTGGCTCTTAAACATTTTTAAAAGCTTTAAGTATATCTAAAGCTGCACCTCTATTTTAGAATACTCTAACTTTCTTTTAAAAATGTCCATAAAGAATGAAGATGTTCCAGTCTTAACCAAGATGAACTCTGTTATGTTCCACAGAAAGAATTACAGGATAACCATTGAAAGGAGGACACGACGGGAACCGTGTGACGGAAAGCATCGTCAGTTACGAGAGGACTCCATCAGATCCAACTTCTCAGCAGCGTAGGGTTTGCCAGACAGACCGACAGACGCAAGTGGCAGTGCAGGTCTAGGGAAGCGGTGTGTCAGATGGGTCCAAAGACTAAAACACCGTCCCAGGAGTCCTGAAATATTTAAAAGACATACTGTAGTGTTTTTATCTTGTAAATGTCTCTTGTTCTTGACTTTCGTAAACTCAGGAAAGTTGTATTAATTAAGGAGAGCTGCTTCTAAGGCTTTTTGGGGGGAGGGGGGAAGGAAAGGTCTGTTTTTGTTCAACTACAGGCCTTGTGCTTTTTCAACAAGCTAGCCTTGAAAAGGAATTTGTAAAAGGCCCCTTATTTGTACAGGCTAGTCAACTGAAACCTGTTCCGTTTGGATCAGTACAGACTGGCAACAATGACTTTAGGGGGTATATCAGTGATTCTGAAGAATGGAGAGGAAGTGGTTTGTCGAAGATGGAATGTTTTCCTTCTCATGCCTCATTAAACTAAACGTGAGGGGTGAGAATTCTGCTTTTATTTTGGGGTTTGGTGTAGTTTTTGACAGGAGGATCTGATCTACACAGAAAATGGTGTGAACCATAAGAGGGGATGATATAAAGCTTCTATGTCAGATTACAAGCTCCAAAACTGATACATTCAATGTTATTGGGCAATGAGATCAATTGTACATCTCAGAGATGCAGGCTATGCAAGCCCAAAATCAAATTAGAGGCCAGTCTGTACATTGATATACCTATTGTTGTTGTTATAGGTGTAGAGGATCTTAAAGGAAAATATGGATATGATTAATAACATAATTTTCTCATCAAAAATGTTTTTTGGAAAAAAGCTATGTTTATAAGTAGAATTTATATTGCACATGTACATTTTTGAAAAAATCAAATCATATCTGTATCTAAATTTCCTATGTCAGAAAATGCTCATTAATACTCTATCAGTTTAATTCTGTATTAAAAATATATATATCTATATTTTCCATGTGTCAATTTTAGGTGTTAAAATGTGAGATGCCACATTTAAAGCTGTCTTTAAGGTTTGTGCGAACACATTCTAGGATTTTATTCAAAGATTAGTGTGATGGCAAATGTGTACTGATGTAAGTAAATGTATCTACATAAGATGTGATGTTATTTATTGAGTTTTTTTTTGTAGAACTTTCAGTTTTGTTAGTGTTGATTTTAATATTGTTTTTATTCCTTGTGTGGAACATACAGAATCCTTTTTTAAAGAAAACAAGTTTCTGCCTTTCCAGAGCGTATTTTGCTTGATCATTGTGTACATGGCTTTGTAAACAAACCCAGGCAGAGTTATTTATATTACCAGTACATATTGACCAATAAACAAAATCAAATGACTCACTTGCACATAGAATGTGTTTTTTTCTGTAGTCCTGGACAACAAAAATGTTACAATTTACATAACAAACTTTTCACTGAAAAGTACTTTAGATGTTTTATTCATTTCTTAAGAATTATGTGAACAAGAAGTGAATAAATTGATAAATTCTTCTTTGATATTTGCTCCCCACTTTTAAAATATGACAAATTCTAGATATTCATTTTGTTATAGCCTAATTCTCAATGCTATACTGCTTTGTTAGTCCTATACAGCTTTCTCAAGTTTGATGCCAAAATGAAGTGTTGGATGTCATTGTCATTTCTCAGTTGTCACAAATTTTAAACTCAAGTCAAGTTAAGTCAAATTTATTTGTATAGCGCTTTTTACAACTGATGTCGCAAAGCAGCTTCACAGAAATCCATTAAGGACAAAGTTTTAACATGAAATGTAAATCCTCCAGGTGAGCAACCCAGGGGCGACAGTGGCAAGGAAGAGCTCCCTCAGAGCTGGGGAAGAAACCCTGGGAGGAACCAAGGCTCACAACTCACAGTAATACTACTACTATTAATATTAATAGTAGTAGTAGTAGTAGTAGTAGTAGTTAGGAGTCCATGAAAACTTCAGTGTAGAGTGGGCAGCTAGTCCAAGGCAAGTGGCGGTAGCTGGGCAAGTGGCGGTGACTGGGGCGTGGGCAACTGGTCTGAAGCGGGTAGCAGGAGAGCTCCACAGACAATCATCCATCAGTGTCCAGCCGGAAAAAGGAAAAAAGCAGCAGAATCTCAGCTTCCCAGCATCCTTTTGCTTTTGTTGTTTTTTTGCTCATTAGCTCTTATAGTCTTTTTTCTTGATCTTCACTTTCCAAACATCATGAATTCTATTAATTTTATTGTAACTTGATTCTTTTTTTTTTAGTCAATTTAGAATCTTCTGCTGTGTTTACGTACACACATTAGCAACCACCTGGGATAAGAGCAACAGCCTAACAACACCTTAGCAACCACCTGGGATACTGCAGCAAAAGCCTAGCAACTCCTTAGCAACCACCTGAGATAACATATTTATTGGCCAAGCAACACCTTAGCAACCACTTGGGATAACAGCAATAGCCTAACAACACCTTAGCAACCACCTGGGATACTGCAGCAAAAGTCTAGCAACACCTTAGCAACCACCTGGGATAACATAACAGTCTACCAACACCTTAGCAACAACACTGGGCCTCATTCACCAACCGTTCTTAAGAAACTTCTTAAATCCCACCTACACAGTTTACACAAAGACTCTGACATCCACCAACATGTTCTTATTCGGGATTTATCCTTAGGTAAGAACAGAATCTACTAAGAATTAGGAAGAATCTTCTAAAAGACATCTGTTGAAGCGACAATTGTCAGTGTAATGTCAAGGAGTAAGTATATATTATCAAGTCATATAATGAAAATGCTTCTGATTCTTCTTTAGAGGCAAGTCCTTTAACCAATGGTGCAGAAATAATTATGAGCGTTTGAATATGGTTCCTCTTCAGAGGGTCAGAGCGCTGTACAGACGCCATGGCAGAAACGGCAGGTTAGAGATTCCTCATGGACCTGAGACAGGGTGTGCGTAAATGATCCCGGGGTGCTGAGACACTGTGAGCTGATTCCTTGGACAGATTAACACTGCCGGCGAAACAGATCCACTGTGAACACAGGTAGAAATGTAACAGCTACCTTGCAGTATTTAAACTATGACTGACTAGGAACAGTCATATTCAAAAGTTTGGGCACCTTTGGGGAAATGACATGTTTTGTTGATTTTCTAAGTGAAATAAGTTACACATCCTGTACAGAGAACACACTTCTGAACATTCTAATACACAATTACTGTTTATTTACTGAATTTAGTTTATTGGGGAAAAGTTAACTCAGCAAATCAATGTGCAGAACAATGTCACATTTAAGTTTGTTCCCTGGAGAGAATGTTTACTTGTTTTCAACAAAACATAATTTAACCAGGGTTGTTCAAACTTTGCATTCAGCTGTACAAGTTGAGCACAAGCACAACAGCGCCACACTGAGCTGTAATTGTAGCAAGTAAAATATGCATAATGTATGAAAACTTTGTGACTAATAGTGATTTTAAGGAGTTGAAGGGGAATTCCACCAATATTTCAAAATGTCTGGATAATTAAGTCCTTGAGATGCAAACAAAGTCATTCAGAATGGTTTGACGTGAAATGCTTCATTATAGAGAAACTTACAGGCTCAGATTTTCTTCACCGTGGTGCTGTTAGGAACCAGGGGTCACAATGTCTAAAACACAAATATAGCCATTTTATTTACTATCCAGAACCACCAGTTAACCTACACATGTCTCCTGAGTTTTTATATGGAAAGATGATGATGGTAAAATAGAGGAAAATCTGGAAAAATAAGATTTCTTTGGGGACTATTTTGCCTTACATTGCCCTGCATGTACCTCTCCGCTATGAATAAATTTAAATAAATGGACTTAAATGAATTTTAAGCCAAAGCTTTATCACAAACTATCATAAAACATCAGGCAGCATATTCATAACCATTTCATGTGATCACTTTCTGTGAGGGAGCTTTCACAGGTGGACGTCTGGTTCCTCTCACCATCACTGAAAAATTCTGAATTGGTAAGTTTCTCTGGAACAGAGCAGTTTACACCAAACTACCTTGAATGACTTTGTTTACATCTTACCCATTTAACTTAATTTTTTTGAAAAATCAGTGGATTTCCCCTATAAATTCTGATAAATGAGAATATAAAGCTGGCTGTTTTAATTTAAAATGGTCAAAAATCAAGCAGACCAATGGTTTTGATTTGGACTACATCTACCTGGATAAACATTACAGAAAAATAAAACTTTTATTTCTACAGGGTTAAAAATGCAGTGAAATGAATACAATGCAGGCACTTTAGTTCAGTAGTGCAGCATCACCTAATCATCTTGTTCTTCCAAAAAAACAATATGCAGTCCTATGCAAAAGTTTGGGTGCCTCGATCAAATTGCATTTTTTGAAATGAAAAGTGAACACTTCTACAGATAACACACTTCTGCACATTTTAATATTTATTTACCTACCGATACTGACATGAGTTCTGCTTCATCGCGCATCCCTGCTAAAAAGCTGCACTATGTAGGTTTTGGGGATTTGGAGACCTCTCTGGTGGAAATGTGTTATTGCACACACCGTGCAGAAGATTTTGGAACATCGGTTATGCTTCGGGCGTCTTTCGCTAGTGGATGAATCTGATGATTGTGAGCGCTTTGAAAGAGTAATCAAGGAGAACTCAGTGAAGGACGTGTCTCCCAAGGATGTAAAAGAACTATCTACTAGTGTCATCATATTTTTTATCAATAATAATGTGGATATTGTATTTGAGACCTAAATATGTAGACTGACCTTCTTTTTGAGCCTGTGTGCGTGACCTTAATGCATAAAGACATATGAAGTGGTGCGCAAAACTCCTGCGAAATCCAACCGAATGCCTCTACTGAATGATATTTATTTTAGGCCTAACAGGGTAATTTGCAGCAGAGCAAGCAGACCATATTCTAGTGTTTTTTTCCTTCTGACTCAGTAACACTACTTCTTTCAGTTCTATAATCTTATATAGTGCAGCTTTATATTAGATATGTTAGATGGGCTGTCATTTCTAATTTGTCACATTGCTTAAACTCAAACTGCAGAAACTCACAGTATCTTTAATGAAGGCCTATTTGTGTTACAATATGTTATCCTCATGCTAAAGTTTCAGTTTGAATGTGTTTTACTTACTTTTGTTAGGCATATTTGAATTGTGTTTTGGGTTCACCTCTGGCTGTAGCTTGTAATAGAAGCTAGCAGGCTGTGGCTGTCAGCTAAGCGGTCTCATTTCAGAGATGTGTGTTGGTTACAATATAAAACAAGCCAGTAAATATTTGTGTTTTATCAACGTTATATCTGCTGATGTATATTAATCTGCAGGACCTTGATATTGGACAATAGTATCGGCTAATCGATATATCAGTCAGGCCATAATACATATTGCGGATATAAAGTGTACGCTTCACTGTATGTGGTGTAAGCCTGGCTGTACAAGGCAAGCTGAATTTCACCTCTGATCCAGTTGGACAGTCACTGCCTAAAATAACTGCTACATTCAAATGAATCTTAAACCGAAATCCACACAAACCACCTGGTTGCTAAGCATCTTGAGGTCTTCCTACAGCCTCTTAACTACTGCTATCAAGACCACCGTTTGTACCTCACTGCACAAAATTCTGAACTTCCCAATTTCAGACACCGACATGCTGATATAAACACATTCATATTGTTAGACTAAAGTGTGAGTTTGATAAGAGTAGCACAAGTAACACAGTATTTAAACAGACACAACAGCCAAAATGAAAAAATAACCATTACTATCTGTTGTAAACATGCTACTCACATCCTACAGTGGTGAGGCAGCAGACTCTAGAGAGAGATTTTCCAGTTTAAAGACTCGGAAAACCAACTTCTGGTGATGTATCTTGGGAGGACCTTTTGAAAGAATACAAGCGCTTTGGGGCAGATATATATTTTTCCGCTAGCTGGCTAATGGAGAAGGAAACCACTTCTATATTTATTAGTCTCTATATCAGTGGCTATGCTAGCAGTCAGGATTTCTTCATCACCTTGGGGGTATTCCCAATGGCTGTATGATGTATTTGACCCCTACAGAAATCTGATGTATGGCAACATAGGGATTTAAAATATATGCCATATTTGTCACATATATGGATTCTATGCAACTTCTATTTTTCACATATGGGCCTATGTGTGACATGCCAACTCATTTGAAATTGGCCATTTTCATATATGGGACAGATATTTCAGCCATGTATCAACATATACAAACATGTATGTGTAAAATATATATTTAACAATATATGATAGACAACATTAGGCATATACTACTATATATCGCTGTTGTCTGAAGAAAACCTCGTATCTCCAAAATGATAACTTTACAAGAAAAGGAAAA